AAAATCGCCCCCTGTCCACTATCCTTATCATAAATTTCACAATACATTCCCATTGCACTGAAACCTTCTCCCCGGTACTCCACTAGCTACCCCATGCGAGGCTGTCATCCCAGAGACCCAGACCAACCTCAACCAGCAGTCCCAGAATTGCAGTCCCAGAATTGCAGTCCCAGAGTTGTGGTCAGGTTCATGGTTCCAGAGCTGTGGTCCCAAAGTTGCGGTCCCAGAGTTGCAGTCCCATAGTTTCTTTCCCACCTGACCATCGGATCATTGGTATCAGTTCCACGTCGCATGTGTGGGATGTGATGCCCAATCTACATTTCTTCTTCACTCTCGCACCAGATGGCTATGGGGACCACGCTGATGAGGTGGAGAAGAATTGGCCATGGCAGTCTCGCTATCTTGGTAAGCGGACGGCAGCTGTTTGACAGAGAAAAAAAAAAAAGATAGTTGCATTCCTTGGTGATTAGCTCTCTTCTTTGAAAAGAAGGCCAAGCTTCCAACGGGGACTATACTTTTCCCAACTCTTCTGCACTTCAAGTACTATATATGGCTCAGGGAATACTCACAGCAGGCCTTCTGGAAATGATTGCGGTCAGATGCATTCAGTTCAGCCATATGGCTGTCAGATGCTTCTAGGAAAGTACTATCGTGAGTATGCGCTAAGGGGCTCGTTAGACACTCCTTACAGCGTCCTCGGGGCCGAAGGAAATTTCTTTCTGAGTTTCGGAGGAAAATCCTTCCGTTGTTCCACCTATCCTGAGGCTCGGGGTGGCCTCCTGAGGACAATTCCTTTTTGCACCCCGCGGCCCACTTCATAATATTATATTCGGCCGCCCCTGGATTGCATCCCTTGGTCCATTGGCTGATGTCTGTCTCATGGTGGTGTGGTCCAGCTGCGGAAGGCGGGAATTTTTAGAGGGCGCTGGCGACTGGAAAAATAAAAACATGAAAAATCACAGCGGACCTCCCGGTTCAAAATTCAAATTTCAAATCTGGTGGTGGACGTGACGACGGCGACGTGGGGCAGGTGGCGTGCCTTCTGGCAGACGGTGGAAATGGTCATTCCAGCGGCGTAATGGCGTCGTCGTATGTCGTGCACGGTCTTCATTTGCTGCAGCACAAAGGTCGATCGCCATCGCTTCCTCCTGCCAACGACCATATGCTCTCAGCCGGAGACAGGCGGCGGACGTCGTCGGCAACTCCACGAAACCGTCGTCCCCCCCACCCCCACCCAAACGCCTTTCCGTCACCTGACATCCCGACAATGGCGATGGCAATTGCACCTGCTGCGGACAAGCGACTGCGGGACGTGTTGCCGCCGTCGACTTCGACTGCAGACGGTGTCGATCCCTCGTCTTGTCTGCTGCCG